TTTTTGTTTTTCTATCCTAAGTTTTATATTTTAAAGAATTGTTGCAAATTACAATGTTTAAAGAGTTAATTACAAAGATCTCCCCTGAGGTTTCAACATTTCACAGGCGCATAGAAAAAATCATTAGGTTAACACAAACATCCCATTCCCTTAACTTCAGTTAGGGCTCCGTTAGGGGTTTTTACTTACACCCCTTCAACATAAAAAAAAAAAATGACTGAGTTACCCCTATAGTTAGCCACGTACCTACCATCAATTGTTGGTGTTAGAATTAATTAAGGGAAACCAAAAAAAAAAAAAAAAAAAGACCTTATATTTTAAAATAATAAGAATTATAAATTAAAATTAGAAAAATAATAAAAAAATTAGAAAAAGTTTTTAAAAATAATACATGTTTAAGATTTAATATTATTATTTTTTAAATTGCATTTTTTTTAAAAGAAGTTTTCCGATGATCTCTTATTGTTGAAACCCCCATTCTTAGATCATTTGAACCACGACCTCTTCTTTTAAAAAGAAAAGTTTCTAAATTGACGGTAAGGAGTGTAAGTTGCTAATTAAAGGGGTAAAATTGTCAGTTTTGTATGTTGGAGGGGGTGTAAGTGAGATAACCCTCATGGAGCCCTAACGAAAGTTAAAAGAGTAGGATGTTAACCTAATAATCTTTTCTATGTGCCTGTGAAATGTTTAAATCTTAGAGGAGGTCTGTGTAATTAACTATTGTTTAAATGAAAAATTGATCATGCAATAAAAAATTACTAGAATTTGAATCATACAAAATGTTTATGTTAGTTTTTGGAGTGTTTTTAGAGTTGACAACTTTACAGAGATATAGGATATTAAGGCTTTGTTTGGTTTACTATTCTGATGCTTTTTAGAATAGTATTTTGGAAAAATTAAACTTGAGTTGAGTTGAGTTATCTTTATGAGAAATGTAATTATTAATATTTTGAGTTAAATAAAGTAGAATTGAATTTTGAGAATATTGAAATGGTAGGGTAAAAATAGTGAACCAAAGGGGTCCTAAAAGATTTTAGTTCTTAAGCAAAAAAATGAACATGTATATAAATCCTTCCAAAATTTTCTGAATATATATAAAAGGCCATTGCTAATATTTTTTTTTTAAATACTATTATAACCCTATTAAAGCTAAAAGATGACATCACCCGGTTAGTTATTAGAAAGGGGTTGATGCTTTGTGATCATCACCCGACATTTATTAGAAGTGGGTTGATGCTTTGTGATCATCACCCGACAGTGATTAGGAACAGGTTAGTGCTTTGTGATCGTCACCCCAAAGTCATGAGGAACGGGTAGGTGCTTTGTGGTCTCCACCTGATAGTTACGAAAACCGAGTAGGTGCTTCATGGTCCCCACTCGGTAGTCACTAAGAACGGGTTAGTGCTGTGTGAACTCCACTCGATAGTCATGAAGAGTGAGATGGTGTTGTGTGAATGCCATCCGGCCGTACCTCCGGTAAGATGAGGCCATGACGTTTAGTAGAAAACAACAGAAAATGTGAGGAACAAATTAAGAGAATTACATACGGGGATAAACAGATAGAGGGTTTACTTACTGAGCATTATTTTGTGCTCACCCCGTTATTTTCCTTTGTGGGTGCAGGATCTAGGTGATGATGCAGTTGGAGGGGCGTCGACAAGCGAGGAGAAATAGCTACACTGTTTCCCCTGTTTTTGTCTTTTAAAATGGCTTTTTGTAAATGATGCTCTTTGTGTATAAAAGACGTATTACTTATAATAAAAAGAAAAGTTTTGGGCCCATTTTCTATTGTTATTATGCATGCATTGTACTAGTTTACAGCAGTTGTTACAAATTTGGTTGGGTAATAACGGTTTTCTGTTTATTAGGTTTTGAAGGTTTTGATTGTGGGGTAATATGTTGTTGAGGTGGTAGCATCGCATACGATGCTTTTGATTTTGGATTATTTTGGGGTTTGATGGGAGTGCCCATCTTTTCCTCACTTTCTCTTAAAAAATTTGTGTTCTGAAAGTTATTATGATGAGAGAGACTATTAGAAGAATTTTTTTTTGACTTTTGCATTTCATTGAAAAAATAATTTTGAAACTTTTTAAATTTTATTGTAAAAAGTTGAAACACTTTTTTATAATGCAAGCATTCAAAATTTTGTTGGAATCGAGCCATTCTTTTGTAGGAACAATTTCTAGACTCTATAATTTAATAATAGTATTTATCTTAGATATTGAAATATTTTTTAAATTATTAATATCTTTTACTAATGGAGGATTAACAAATTCAAATGTTACATCTTGTCCTAAAATATTTGTTGTAATTCCTTTATTGTTTACTGTGAAAGGGTAAATTTGAGTAATAAAGGGGTACCTAATATAAAATCTTGATCTAAATCTTTTGCTAGAATAAAAGTATTTTTAATACAAAAATTGTGTATACATACGTGAGCGTTAGATAATTTATAATTAATGTTTTTTCATAATATTTTGTTGGAATTAATCATTCTCTCATATAATTTTGATCTGGTCCTGTGTCTACTAAGGCTTGTGTAATAATATCTAGTTTGTTATTAATATCAATCCTAATATAAACATGCCATTTTTGAAATTGAATTCTAGAGATTTCATTGATAAATGATTCTTCGGTTTCTTCAATAATTTATAATTTTGATTTTGGGGTTGATGGTTATCCTATAGTTTCTTTAGAGGCTTTTAAGCATAATAAATCTATCTTAATTTCAAAATTATCCTTTTATAGATCTTTAACTTGATTTTTTAGAATATTGATTTCTTCTTGCAAATCACTTAGAGTAACTTGTGTGGGTTTATCAAATCTTTTTAATATATCTTTTAAATTATAAGAATCTACATCTTTTTGTTTTTCTTCAAGTAAAATTAATTCTTTAAGTTTTAATAAATATTCTCTCTTAATATCTTCATCCTGAATTTTATCAATAATATGTAATAAAAATTCTTTTGATTTAGTAATAATATTTATTGACTTAAGTCTAGATGTTGATATCATATTTATTGATTTCATTGCACAGTAGTAAGGCCCCATGCAATCACAATCTTCAGAGTCTTGTGAAGACTCACTTATTATTTCAGAAGAGTTTTCTTGAATTTGATAAATCATATCTTCATTTTTTGTATTATAACTAGATTCTTCTTCAGTGTCTGTTTAAATAATATTTAATAATTTTTGTTTTAATTTTGAATCTATTTCTAATTTTTTAATTTGATCTTTCATTGGACACTTAGTAGCATAATGACCTTGTTGTTTACATTTCTAGCATGTGATAGGTTTTTTAGATATTTTCCTATTGGAGGATTTTTTTTTCTTTTTATAGGGCTTATCATAAGATTTTTGTTTATATTTATAATCTCTTTTTTAATAAGGTTTTTTATATTGTTTTTATTTTTTATCTTTTTTATATATAAAAGAAGGAGGTAATATTTTTCCATAACCATATTGACTACAAAATCCACTTAATTCTGTTTTCTTATATTTTAATTTATTTTTAATTTAGCTTTTAATTTTAAATCAGTGCAAATTATTAAAGCTTCATAATTAATTAAACTAATTAAATCTCCATAAGTTAAATCTTCATAAGGTATATTTCCATCAAATTTTTTATATAATACATTTTTAACAGTTTGACTAAATAATCTAGGTAGATCTTCTAGGAACCTTTCTTTCCAATAAGGTTTCCTATATTCTATTCTTGTGAATATTTTTTCCAAAAGCTTTTAGTTATTGCATAGATTAATGTAGAGGATGCGTCTTCTTCTTCTTGTTGTTCATACTCTAGTTGACTTGTACCTTCTGTTTTAATATTTCTAATCTTTTTTGTTGCATGTAATATTAATTTTCGATAAGCTTCTGTTAAATCATTATCCCATCAATTTTTTAGCAATCCTATGAATCCTGAAACTAATATTTTTGCTATTTGGTGATCAGTATTTTCGTGGACTTTATGGGCTAATGCTGACATTGTCGTTTCTTGTAAAACATTTAATATTTGATGTTCAGCTAATTCATCTGTATTCCATTCATCTATTCATGTTCCATTATACATCTTCAAATTGAATATCTGGAGAGGAAGGTCTTGGGTAAAGATTTCGAATTTTAGGATATTTCGTATTAGTTCTCATTTTATTAATAGATAAGTTTTTGAAATTTTGATGTAATTCTTTTATAGGATCGAATTCTGTAAGAACATTAATGTTTGATTTTAAAGGTACTAATTCATTAAGTTTTTTGCTAATTTTTTTAGAATAGTATTGTGATTTTTGAATTTTATTATTTCTTCTTTTGGTATATCAAAGGGTTCAAAAAATTGTTTTACATATTTTTGTGAATAAAGGGGTGTTGAATTAGATGGTTTTATTTGCCAACTCATACATATTGTGTCTTTTTTATAATGATAATAATAATTATTATTATTATTATTATTTTCCATCCTCGATAGTCTTAAAATTGTCAAAGGTTTTTTTTGTAATTAGTTTATTTTCATAAATAAATTTAAACTTTCAACAGTCTTTCAATTAATTTAGTAAACAAAATTCAACGAAAGTAGTGTATCATTCAACAAAAGTTTGATAAATATTTTTTCCGTCATTGACACTTTGACATCAATGAAACATCAATAACTAAAAAAAGTTTGATACATACACTGTCCATTCTCCTCTAACTTCATTGATCTATGCATCTGTGTACACTTCTTTCCCTAGGATCTGTAAAAGATTAAATGCAGATAAATTCAGTATATATACAACCACAGAACATTAATGAAAACCCCGTTCTCACCTTCAATCACAACTCACTTGGATCTCAGCAAAACACAAATTCTAGAATTCCACAACCAACACAGATAACAATTTCAGATAAACACAATAAGCAACACAGAACAATCAAACAAATACTCCTCAATATGTATATCAATAACAATCAAATAAATGCTCTTCAATATGTATATCAATATTGGTAGTAATTCAGCCAATACAAACTTATATGATGGAGTAATTTATGGCCAACTTGATGAGGTCCGCTTTCTCAAAGGGAGCCCCCTCTCTCTTCCAAGATACAACACCACCAAAAGCAGGGATGACAAAAAGCAACGACTCCCTTGGAACCTAGTCATAGGTAAGATTAATTTCATATTACAGAAAAAATACAAAAAATGATTCCAATACTAATGAACTGAAAAGAAAATAAAGCATCAAAAAGACCAAAAGATTGCACAACAATTGATAAACGAATCTTTTACACTGGTGTAAAACACATCATTCTCCAATATCTCACCTCACGACTCGAGAAGAATTTCATATTCTTTAAGAGTTTCTTACACTCCTTTGTATCTTCATCCTCTTCATTTTCATCAGCAGCACCTTTAACAAGTTGCATCAGTGCACCAGGTTCAATGGAAGGAAGTTGATGCTGAAGTTGGGCAAGTCTTGAGTTCAGATTCATCTCGTTTAGTTTCCTCAATTTGCTCAGCAGTTCTATAGTTAGTATCAAAGTATCTTGACAATGCATAAAGTTCTGCAGGATTCACATGATGACAATATTATAATTAATAAGTATCAAGAAAAGGTCTGGATGACAATATGTAACCATAAACATCTGGCACCAACAGAAGCTGCAACTTTTCCTGAATGAACCCAAACACACAAGCAATCCCCTAAAAGGAAAGAGAGTGGAAGCAAACCGGCTGCTGAAGCTTCCAAGTGAGGATCAAGAATGGGCAAATATTTAACATTTATGGAATGATAAGAGTTTAAAATTGACAAGGCAAGGAGAGTCTGCACCCCCAAAAAATTTTAATTAGTAAATCAGAAAAATAACTAAAGTAAATTGATTGAAAAGAACTACCCAAAATTGTTTTATTTCTAGAAGAAAAATAAACGCTGAGATATTCAATTGCACCAAATCTTGAGAGAAACAACAATGAAGAATAGGAAAAAAATCAGTCGCAATGAAAAAGCAAACCTCGTAGAATTCCAAGAAGTTGAGCAACACATCATAGACAACATCATCATCGGGCAAAACTTGCTGCAGCCATGTAATCTTTTGACCCTCAACCTCAGCCTGTATGCACCAAAAGTATAAATAAGGTGATAAAACAATACAAGGAGCTCACACATCACAAAACAGTAAAAACCATATTGTCATACCTGGTAATATATCCCTTCCACAGATACAAAAATCTTTCGCAATTTATGAGTCCGAGAAATGTAGGCTTGCCATTCATGACTCAACCTAGAAGACAACTAACATAATATTTATGTGAGTATTGAAGTTGCAGACCTGTCAAGAGTTTTTAACAAAAATAAATAAATAAATTGAATAATAATCATCATCAAATTTTATTAATAATAATAATAATAATAATAATATTATTATTATTATTGGCAATTTTTTTTTTCTTTAAGAGGAGTTGGAAATCCCCCTCATAGGTCTGCAACTTCTTGCCTTTTCAAGTAATCAAGGAAAATCAAAATTCGTCGATAATTTCCCAAAATATAAGCATGGAAAAGTTTCAAATTAAAGAAGCATCAGCTAAGAAAATCTAGCAATTTGTACACATGTACCACCAGTCCAGATCATAAATTAGCTAGTAAACAACCAGCCCTTTGTTTCATATTACAAAATTTGATCTCTACTGACAAAATCCCATTCAAAAAAATCACCACCCAACATCACCAACACAAACACAAACAACCAAAAGTCTATTACAAGACAAATCAAACAGAAGGAAGAAAATAAACTTGTTCTCTACTTACAAAATCCAGAGATTTCGTGACAGCATACAAATTTTCCCAAAATCACACAAAAATGAAAACCAATAACCCATAAAGCCCCAATTCATAAAAAATTCATAACCCCAAAACCCATAGTTAAATCAAATGCGTTATTGAGACTACAACGGTCAAGAACAAGATTTACAAAATTTATTTTTAAACAATTTCTTGACATTTGATAACTGCAAGAATCATCCAAAACGGTCAATGATTAGTTCAAATTTTTGACAATTCATAAACTGTCAATAATTTGTCAAGAATTACAATTCTTGACAATTTTTGAAAACGGTCAAGAAAATCTATCAACTCTATCTGTCAAGGAAGGGGTTTTTCTAGTAGTGAAAAGAGGAAATATGATAAGTACAAGAGCGCTTACCTTTACATAAAGCAATGGGAAGATCTAGGTTAGAAGGAGGATCTGGATGCGAGGGCAAGGCAGGCAATGGGGACAATGTCTCAGGTGTCTTAGATGCCAATACTGGTGCTAGTGCTGGTGCCAGTTGCTGTGGTGGAGGGTGGCGAGAGTATATCTGAGTGACAGGAGGACGAGACAGAGGTGGAGAACTATAGTAAGTAATGGTATAAATAAGAAAATCATCAGTGATCAAATAAGAAGTTGGAATGGAATCATCAACACAAGGAATAGTTTCAAAGAATGAAACATTAGTCGAGACAATATACTTACCCAAAGTAGGAGAAAAACAATGATATCCCTTTTGATACCATGGGTAACCAAAGAATATATACTTGAGGGATCTAGGGTCTAATTTGGAAAGATGAGGGCGAACGTCTTGAACAAAGCAAGTACACCCAAAGATTTTGGCAGCGAGAGGGAACAAAGGTTGAGAAGGAAAAAGAATGGAGTAAGGTATTTGGCCAAACAAAATAGATGAAGGCATACGATTAATTAAGTAACAGGCAGTAGAAATAGCATCTGCCCAAAACTCTTTAGAGAATTTCATATGAAAGAGAAGTGTACGAGCGACCTCTAACAAATGACGATTTTTTCGTTCAGCAACTCCATTTTGCTGAGGTGTATACATATAAGACGACTGATGAATAATGCACCTAGTGGACAAAAGAGAAGAGAAAGAAGCAGAAAAATATTCTTTGGCATTATCATTTCACAAAATTTTGATAGATGAAGTAAATTAGTTTTGTATCTCAGCATAAAAGGCACAAAATATGGAGAATAATTCAGAATGATTTTTCATAAAATATAGCCACGTAACACGTAAAAAATCATCCACAAAAGTAATAAAATATTTATAAACAGATTTAGATAAAACAGGACAAGGACCCCAAATGTTAGAATGTATAACATCAAAAGGAGCAATAGCTCGTTTATTTTTTCTAGGACTAGAAGACACTCGATGGTGTTTCCCAAATTTACACGCTTCACAGTTAAGATGTGACATTGACTTTAAACTAGGACATAACTCTTCAAGATTGGAAGAGGAGAATGACCAGAACGACCATGGAAGAGAAAGGAGGACAAATAACCAGTACATGCAACATGTGGCGGCACTGGAGTAGAGATGTCATCAAGCACATACAAGCCACCTAAGACACGACCCCTACCAATAATCTGCTTTGTCCCAAGATCTTGAAAGATACAATGAGTAGGGAAAAAATAAACACCATAATTAAATGTAGTAGTGTTTTGACTAACAGAGGAAAGAGACTTATATTTGGTGGGATTAGTAGTACCATAACCCATAATCGGTACAGTAGACCCATTAGCTAAATTAATAAAAGACAAATTAGAATAAGGTGTTAATGAGTAGAGAATACCTATATCACCTGTCATATGGTGCGTAGCACTAGAATCAATGACCCAATTACGACTAGAAGTAGATACACAAGTTATCAGATTATCTAGCTTAGTTAATGTAGCAGCAGATGATGGAATGGATGACTTGGGGCTAACAAGCTGAGTGAGGCGAGCATAGTCATTTGCAGATATAATAACCTATGAAGGAGTAGGTAAAATACCATCTTGAGTGGCAACATCAGCATATTTCTGATTACTCAACATAATTAGAGGCTTTCCATGTAACTTCCAACAATTCCTTTGACATGACCTTCAGTACCACAATGAAAGCAAATATGAGGACCATTACCATTACCACGAGTACCTCCGATATCCCGACTAGCACCTTTTTTGCCTCTACAACTATTAGACTTCATGCTAGCAAGAGCCGCATGATTTAGAGCAACATTCTAAAGAGTCTCCCTATCTTTAGATGCTCCTCTATCCTTCCCTTTACTAACTCGAAGAAGACAAGCATAAACCTCTGTTAGAGAAGGAAGCTTGTCATTGGTAAGAAGTAATGTTCAAACTATCTCATGTTCTAGTTTCATCCCAGCCAGAAAACATACCACCACCTGCTCATCTTGTTATTTCATTTGCACAACATCTACAATCAGTGAGAATATAGCTTGTTTTTTCTTAAAGGTTTACTTCATCTCTTTTTAGTATTCAAGTAATGTATTCTATTGCATATTTGCTCGATAAATCCACAATAATAGCTCATGAACATGAGACAAGTTCTGTTTACTAGCATATAGAACTCTAGATACTCCTATGACTCTTTAACTGTATCACAATGATTAGTAACATCATCCACTATGGAATCTAGAGTATTCTAGATCTGATTAAACAATTTGTCATCCTCCATAAGCCATTTCTTCTGAATTCTTTTTACACTTTCTAATCTCGTATCACTACCCTCTAGTTGCTTATCACTCTTTGTTTGTGGAAGTGAATCCGTAGGTGGATCCTGTAACACCTACTGAAAACTAGTACAATGCATGCAATTAACAATGGAAAATTGGGCCCAAAATGTTTCTTTTCATTACAATTCACATGTCTTTTATACACAAAGGTTACTGTTTACAAAAGTGCATTTTAAAAGACAAAATAGGGGAACAGTGTAGCTATTGCTCCTCGCGCGCCGATGCCCCTCCAACCGCATCAACACCTAGAACCTGCATCCACAAAGGAAAATAACGGGGTGAGCACAAATAATGCTCAGTAAGTAAAACTCTCTAACTGTCTGTCCCCGTGTGTGACTCTTAATTCTTTCCTTTTCTAATTCTGTTTCTATTTCTGTTTCTATAACATCATGGGCCTCATCTTACCGGAGGTACGGCCGGATGGCGTTCACACAGCACCATCTCACTCTCTATGGCTATCGGTGGAATTCACACAGTACCAACCCTTTCTTAGTGACTACCGAGTGAGGATCACAAAGCACCAACTCGGTTCCCCTAACTCGGGTGGAGATCACCTAGCACCTACCCGTTCCTCATGAATTTTGGGTAATGATCACCAACATTTACCCGTCTCTAGTCACTATCGGGTGATGATCACAAAGCATCAACCCGCTTCTACTAGCCGTTGATGATGATCACAAAGCATCAACCTACAATCTCTTAACTAATCGGTAGTGGTCACAAAGCATCTACCCATTCCTATTACTCATTGGGTGACGATCACTAAGCATCGACCCATCTCTCCAAGCTTTCGGATGATGATCACAAAGCATCAATCCGATTCCCATAACGGTCGGGGTGATGATCACAGCATCATCCCACTATACTACCTTCTTACTCATTCTATTGTAGCATTTTTCAATGCTCTCTACCCTTAGAGTAATTTTACCCACTAAGCTCTCTACTCATGGGTTTCTATACACAAATTTCCTACTCTTTCTTAGGTCACTTGTCATGCATATAACAATGCACATGGAGATTCATCTCGCTAATGCACTTGTGAAATGCCAACATGCAATGTTGCAAAATTAAGGTTCATTACTCACACTCAATTCTCTATTAGGCATTTCATCAAACAACTCATGTGCGCTATAAAACTCATCATAACCATGAATCTAAAACTTTCCTAACCATCCAAAATGGGGAAAAACCCCTTCACAAAGTCATAATAACCTGTCAAATAACACACTTCCAAAAAGGGTTCCATAAACCCCTTCAATTCCATCTCAACTACCTTGCCAATCAAACCCCCATTCTCATATTTGCAAGGTATAACATTCACAAAGCATAGAATCTCCTTTAATACTCCATACATGGCATATTACATGCACATCAAATGCATACATCATTTCTATCAAAACCCTAATCAGAAATTTCATGAATCTCAACTTGGGTTGGGTTTTACTTACTTGCTATGGAGAGACTTCACCAAATCTTCTTTCCACTTGTTTTTCTTAACTATTCTCTCATCTCTTAACCAAGAATGAAAACCCTCAAAAACCAAAATGAACTAAAATCTACAAATCCACACACTTAAGGAGAAATCCTTACCTTAGGAAGCCTTAGGTTGTTTTCTATACCCAAATCACTTCAAAATCCCTTGGAAATCCTTGATCAAAGAAAAAGAGAAGTTAGAGAAGTAGATAAAGATTTGCGTTTGAGAAGAGAGAAAGAGGGGTTTCTTTGATTCTAATTCCTTTAAAGAAATATAAACACACTCATTCCCATTTTTGCCCTTATTCTTCTATGGAAATTCCATCCATATCCTTCATTCATTACAAACTCACCCCCATATCAACATATTCCATGAAAATCCTTACATTTCACTCCCCACTTTTCCTGCTAATTGGGGTAGAATGGTCAAATAGCCCTTGGGGAAGAAAATGTCTAAAACTCACTCAACATTTTAATCGGCCTGTCGCCGCGGCGAAGAAACCTTTGTCGCCGCGGCGAAACTGTCCAGAGAGTTTCACCCTTGGTTTCAACCCATCTTCGCCGCGGCGAAGATTCTTCTTCGCCCCGGTGAAGCTTGGTACACTCAAATTCTTCTATTTTCAACCAAAATTCAGGGCAACATTCAACATAACATTCAATCAAACAAAATCAAAAACCAACTCAAATAAGAGTGAAAAGAAACAATACACGTACCTCAAGTGGGGCGTTACAATTCTTCCCCCCTTAAAAGAATTTCGTCCCCGATTCAACAAATAACTCTGGGAACGATTCTGCATGTCCCGTTCTACTTCCCAAGGCTTCTTCTTCCACTTTATGATTCCCCCAAGGACTTTCACTAGCGGAACACTCTTGTTCCGAAGCTCTTAACCCTTCGATCTAAAATTTGAACTGGACGTTCTCATATACTAGATTCTCTGTTACTTCAACGTCTTCTACGCTCAAGATGTGGAGGATCCTTACATATTTCCGTAGCATCGAGACTGGAAGACATCGTCACCCTCTCCATGCTAGGTGGTGTGCCAATCTGTAGGCCACTTTCCTACTCGTTGCAAGATCTCAAAAGGACCTACATACCTCGGCGCTAACTTCCCTTTGCTTCTGAAGCGCATGACTCGCTTGTATGGAAACTTTCAGAACACTTTATCGCCCACTTGGAATTCTACCTCTTTCCTCTTCAAGTCACATAACTCTTCTGTCGATCTTGGGCTTGTTTCATTCTATTTCTGATTAACCTCACATCATCTACTAGTTTCTGAGTCATCTCTGGCCCAAGAGCGGTACTCAACTCATCTCTTTCGCCTACTTCATCCCAATGAAGCGGAGACCTACATCGTCTACCATACAAAGCCTCATAAGGCGCCATTCAATTGTAGACTGATAACGTTGTTGTAGGCAAATTCCACTAAGGGTACATCTCACGCCAGGATACTCTATAATCCTGCAACAGGCTCTCAACATATCCTCGAGCCCTGATTCGTTCTCTCGTTTGGTTT